TCTTCTTCTTCTTCTTCTTCTTCTTCTTCTTCTTCTTCTTCTTCTTCTTCTTCAAACGACGACTCAAACTACTCGGTTTTTCATATGATCTATTTCAGTATTGTAAAGACGTTGAAACTAGAAATAAAGATCCTACAAATTAACACATGAATTACATAACATTAAACATGTACTTCCTACCAGAGCAAACTGTTCGTGCAGTCTTCTCGAAAAATGAGTCACAAAAGAAGGAATTGATCAGCCATTAGATTACTACGAGACGCCATCAAGGTCATAGAAGATTTTTATTGATTTTGACAAAATGGCTAAAGCATTTTTAACAGGCTTTTAGTTTTCTATAAAAAGAAAAACCTTTAAAACAACAGTTTCCAGAAACAGAACGAACCGTAGTCTAATACACTTCTATCCTGTTGTTTAAAACCACCTTTTATCCTGCCAAAATATATTTAGTGTAAGCAAGAGAAATATCTGTTGTCTTTCAATGTACAGTTTTATCTACATTACTAAAGATAACGTATGAAAACGTTTTCTGTGAAAGTGCCAAATTCTTTTATGTGACTTTCTCCGTTTGTAGATTGTCACCTGACTTGTACAATTTTATTGTATGCTCAGTTCTGGCTCGTTGTATGTTTGTTTGTTGTTTTTTTCATCACTATTTAATTATTATTTCACACATCGTTCTGTCATACATGGTGTTAATATAACTATAACACATTATGCGCTAGACAAGGCCACTTAATTACACTGTCTGTTCAAAGTCGAGAGAAATGCCCGTAGGCTAAGTAATTTCAATGCTCATTTGCCATAAAAGTATCTGTCTGAGTAAATGCATAAAGAGCAATTTGCTGAGCCAAAAAGATACCACTCAAGCAACTCGTCCACTGGGCCATTGTGATTGAGTCCTTTGCAACCTCTCAAACTTTGCCCTACTTAAGTTAGCACTTATAATACCTAATTTAAACGTCTGGTAGTGCTTTTAGAGAAGGAGAAATAGTCAGTCTCTGCTTTTTTTACCCCACATAAGGTACCATATGTGCTTACTATACCTTGCGTAAACCTTGGGAAAAATAAAAAGAAAGAAAAAAAAACGGGCATGGATTAGGGATCCTAAACCACACTGGTCTTCTCGTGCTTAGTAAAAGAGCCCATGGGCCTTTTCTTGTTCGTTTTGGTTGGTCAGATCTGCTGGTGGCATGGATTAACAGGCAAGGTAACATATCCCTGTTCTATCGA